CCGATTAGTTATCGTGTTGACCCGAAACCTGCTATTTTCGTGTCGTTTACGTGTTGTGTTAATGGGTCGTGTAATAAATTGCCAGGTCTAATTGCAATAGTCCTAATGGACATGTGAAAAGTGGAAAATCCTTTTTACTGTTCTACTTCTGCCCTTTAATATTTGCTCAATCCATTGAAAAAGATGCAGGGCCAAAGACTTTCCAGTGTAAAGCTCCACATACGAAAATCATGCTGTACCATGTGAGGGTATCATTTCGGGTAGAAATTTTTTGCTCAAAACTTTGAATAATTTGCTTTTATCTACTTCCCCAGCCCTTTGTTGTGTCAACTTGAACGGTAGGGCACACACTTTCAGTGATGTATGCCGTCAACCATGACCACCATTGCCAAGCATAATCTTTTCCAGCTCGTACAAAAACACGAATAGATTCTCTAGACAAGACATTTGTTATTTATTAAAGGACGGATATTGGATTGATAATGCATTGAGAAGATATTGATAAGTTTTGAGGTTGACATGCATCAAGAGAAAAAGTATGAGAATGTGTATCGTATTATACACGAAGAACAGACATTCTACCTAGAGAAAAAGTATGTCAATGTGTGTTATATATATTTTTTTTTGAGAACAAAAACAAAAAAATATACACAAAGAACATACGTCATTTCTAGAAAAAAAAAAAAAAAGTATGCCAACGTGTATCATATTGTACACACTGTTGTCTTGGCATTTTTGTTTATGTACAGTGTACTTGAAGGATGTAGAGTTTAGGTGAATCATTGTGGTGCTGCAGTGTATTGCAGTAGGGCCCCTTATACACCTTTATTGGACTGCCTTTTATTTTTGGGGTCGAAATTGGACAGCCTTTTTATGAGAGGGCTGACGTGAGATTCCCCAGCCCACAAAGTTATGAGTGCCGCTTTTGCCTTACATTAGTGGGACTCGGTATTCTTTTTCAAGATAAAGCAGGATGGTTTTGCGACGAAAGGCATTTCTGTAGAAGCCCCATAATGTTTTAAAAGGGAAGCATGATGACAACGTAAGGTGAGTGTGACGGAGGAAGTCGATCCTATCACTAGTTGTATATAATTGTATGTTAGTCTCATATTGTGCAATTAGATTTTCGCATCAATTGTATATAAGTATATATCTATCTTTCCCATCACATGTTACGTGACGAGAGAGATAAACATTAATAGTACACAACTCCAATGACATTCAAGAATTTCTCGAGTAGGATGACGTTAGAAAAGTTGCAGTTACAACTGACATTTTCTGACAAATTGAGCATGTTCATCATTAAAAGTTAATGCTAAGAAAATTTGGTGAGATTCCTAAAGCAGGTTTTAGCCCCTTAATCTCCCCACTAAGGAACCTGGTTCTCTGTTCCCCATTGCACCCACACAAAAAAAGAGAATCAAATTCCTTTGCTCTCCACTTTCATGAGAATTTCAATTCCACTTTGAAAGACAATGGAGTCTATAGTTGTTCATCAAGCATTCATACACCCCCTCATATTATTTACAACCGTGTATTGTACAATCAACAAACTATGCTCACAAAGGAGAGGGGAAGTAGACCTAATCTTCGGAAATATTCCCGTTATTATACGTACTCACTATTCGATCATGTGTCTGTATTAATACAATTTACTGGATGAGTATATGATCTGCTCAATTGTCATCAGTATAGGATCGTATGATTTGTGTTCTAACAGATATGGGACTTGTCACAGCATACACCCCATCAGTCCATGTCAGGCTTCCGAAAAAGTATGCTGTGTTCACTCGGTAGGTGGTGGAAACCGCAACTGAATAGGAAATTGTCTTAACTGTAGAGTTGAAGACCAATGTCTCTGGCCTGACGAGTACATTGGTGCCTGGTGAAGGGTCAATTTAGGCTTTGTACGTTGAGTTGCCATGACCAACGTTCGTTACACTTCGAGTGGGTGTTAAAGGATTTCTTAGATTTGGAATGGTAATTGAAGGCAGGTTCACATCAAGAATTGAAGGCTTTGGAACAGGACATGATGTGGCTTGTTTAACAAGTAGAGAAATAGCTGAGGTATTGTAGCCAAACGCACAAAGGTAGTTTATGTAGTCATTGATGTCCATATTGTATATGAGGCCAGGGTTCGCTGCCTTGTTCGGGTTCACTAATCCTTCTCCATAATCAAATAGATCCGCAAGCTTCTGCGCTGCCCCTTCAGCAAAGATTGGCTCTCCAAATGGATCAGTCTTCCATGCTGCAAAAGAAAAGAAAAAAGTTTTGCTATTATTAATGTGTTGATCTAATCTAGAAACCATCCAATTTCGTTACATTATCAATACTTACTAGTGCACACTAACTATTATGGTTGTAGATCAACCTGTTGTGACTAGTGCTGATTTCATTGCAGCAAGGGACCAATCAGGCTGCAACGATTTTAGAAGTGCCACATGGCCTGCAATGTGGGGAGTTGCCATTGATGTCCCCGATAGCAAGGCAAATCCTCCATCCATTGCGGGATCATAAGAACTGGCGGCTAATATACCCACACCAGGCGCGGCTATATCTGGCTGCGACCAACAAAAAGCTATATTCAGCTTAATCTAAAGGTGCATTGCTTAACAGGACTAATGTGGTACCAAATTCTACCTTCAAAATTGCAGGAGCGATGGAATTAGGTCCTCTAGCAGAGAAATGAGCAACTTGACTCGATACAGGCTTTCCTGTCAGTGTCTTAGAAGGGCTCAGTTCCACAATAGATCTGCGTACCACAAAGAACAACATTGTCACATTTTTTTTTTACAAAGAGAATAATGATTCTAAAATGATTAGTTGGAACTTTTGGAAAGATGTTTTGATTTTTAACGTTTTCTATGGCTTATGACTTTTAGAGAGTTTTTCAAGTTTATTTTCTAGGTGTTTTTCATCCTTATTCTCAATAATATTTTGTTTTATGATTGTTCATAACTAGTTTAGTTTGCTAGGGTGAAGCCTTGAGCCTTAGTAAGAATATGTAGTCTATTTTTAATTTACTTATGATATTATGTATGCATGTTTTGAATTATTGATCACCATTTTAAACTATCTAATTTTCTTAATGCTTGACCACCATTAGGATCTTTAGAAAAGTAATTTGATGCAATTTTGGCTGGAAGGTTCCCTGAAATTGACGTTGGCTTCTTGTGGTTAATAGTAATTTCACCTAGGATGAACACTACGTCTTAAGGGTTGCATGGTTTTTCAAAGGATTTTCATAAAACTTAATGAGTTTTTCATGTTCATATTTGATTCGAACGTCCGGATGGGTTGCATGTTAGATATACGTTTTATGTTAGAGGTTATAAGTATAATATATTAGGAAAACCTAACCTTCAAATATGCATGGATAATTCATAAGTAATTGGAAGAATTATATAGGATTGTTAAGGTGAACCCTAGGGCTTTTACAAATTGATTTTCTTTAAATTGTTCTCTAGTTTATTTATTTAATTATCTTTATTTTAAATTCATTTTTATTATTTTAAATAATAAAATCAACACTTTCTAAATTTTGTTTTAAATAATTAATTAAGAGTTGGTGTTAAATACAAATTATTCATTAACGACTTTGTTTGAGCTGCAATACTACAACAATCTTGTATTCTTGCAAATTTTTTTAAGTATTTTTATTGTATTTTTGCAAATATTTTTAAGTGTTTTAATTGTATTCTTGCAAGTATTTTTAAGTGTTTTTATCCCTACTTTTGTTGATGGTAAAAATCCTATCAGACTAGAGTCCGGATGGCAAATTTGTGCATGTACTTTTGCTGATGGTAAAAATCCTATTAGACAAGAGTCCGGATGGCAAATGTGTGCACGTAGACAAGCTTAATTAATCACCAACCGTGGCACTTGTTTTTGTGAATGTTAATTATGGGATCAGATCCTCTCCGGATCCCTTCTCTAGGGATCCCGGGGATCCTTCAATCACCAACGTTCAATAAAAGAGGAATGGTCAAGATTAATTTGATTTTTTTTTCTTTCTTTTTCATCGTCTTCTTCACCTTCTCTCAATCCTCAGCTTCTTCTCTTCACCATTACCAGTAAATCGACGTTGCTTGCGTGACATATTTCCCTCTCCGTCCTATTTTGCTTCTCAGTGTGACCTTCCCCTCGCCTCCTGCACAAGCAGAAAATCAATCAAGCCAACTCATTAAACACCCCAAAACCCGATCTTTATCCCCGTCCTTCATCCCTAATCCCTACTTCTTTTCTTCACCCTTATAACTCATAAATTAAATTTTCCGAACAGCCACATAATTGATTGCAGGAAGAAAAAATTTGTCAGATTTCTTGTTTGATGTGAAACCATGAAACCAAGGGAGGGAGGAAGAGGAGAAATATAGTTTGGATCGATCTTCGCTTGACCCATCTTGCGAAGATCGGAACTCAAAGGCTTGAGGAGCAGCCCCTAAAAGGGAAGTCGTGGAGACGGCGTGCTCATCACTGCAATGTTGAAAGAGAAGGGAGAAAGGCAGACGTTTTGATGCGAAATTGGGTTCTAAGCTTTTTGATGAAAAAAATAGAGAGGGGAAAGAGAGATACTTTTTTATCTTAAAACTATTAAAAGAAATTGATTACTAGCCGTAGGATATCATCTAACGGCCATGAAATGATTGGTCCAGAGAGGAATGCATCCTGGTTGGTCATACGCACATAGGTTCAGGGCCAGACCTACTACTCCAAGGAGAGATTTTTTAGTATGACCGGTACACGGGATGGTATATTACATGTCTCTATACAAATAGTGGGATATGTGTACCAAAATGTTAATAACTTAAAAAATAAAATTTACCACCACTCTTATTAACACACGTGGTATACCGCTTGCGTTCATGTTATAACTAAAAATTTCTCTACTCCAAGAACGCTCATCCTTAAACCGATTACTGGTACAAATAACATTTTAATATACAATATATACAATCCATATTTAATAAATAATACATATTTACATCTATTTATTTTGATTTAATATTTTTCATTTATATACATTTTTACAGTACAAAAACACAAAAGTTTGACCTCCGGGGAATCCTTAGAATTACCACTGTTTAGCTTTCAATTCGTCTCAGACCATCAAATGAAATGTGAATAACCTGACCTCCTTGATGCAGCATGGAGAAACAATCCATCTGGTCTACCGATCTTTGCAGAGGGATCTTCTCAAAAGTGGGCTGATCCGTTTGATTACGGAGGTGGAATTGTGAACCCTAAAGAAGCAGCGTATCCTGGTTTGGTATACGACATGGGAAAAGAGGACTACATAAAATACCTTTGTGCTGTTGGCTACAACTCCTCAGGTTTCTCTCAACTTGTAGGACAAGTCACAGCGTGTTCTAGTACCAGGCCTTCAGTTCTTGATATGAACCTGCCTTCCATCACCATTCGAAATTTGAGAGAGAATATAAACCTCACCAGAAGCGTCACAAAAGTCGGTCCAGTCAACGCAGTGTATAAAGCTCACATAGACCCTCCACTTGGCATTAGTGTAGCTGTAAGACCTGACACTTTGGTCTTCAATTCTGCCGTTAAAACAATCATGTTCACGGTTGAAGTTTCCACTACCCATCGAGTGAACACCGGATATTACTTCGGAAGTCTTACTTGGATAGATGGGGAACATGTGGTAACAAGTGCCCTATCAGTTAGAACACGAATTCCGTACTATACAGAGGAATGACGCCGCTGGATTTCTTACTACGTAGAGGTTAGGAAATTTCAATGTATTCTCCTCATCGGATGATAAGTAAAGGTGCTGTGTAGTAGGATGTTTATATGCTAATCCAATTAATCGGAGAATAAAGATGCTTTCAAATTACCTTAGTTGTTTCTTAATATTACACTATCTTCTCAGATTACATTAAAGGGAAAGTTCTTAGATCCCGATCCTTTTAATTTGTTTGCAGCATAAACTTATTCATTTCCTAGGTCAATAATCTTCCAAAGTTCCAAACTAATCTTTTTGCTTTATGTTTAGTCTTAGTGTGCGCTAGTAACTGCAGAATGTGACTTCATGTCTTGGAAAGTCTGGGAAACTGGAACCATTCCTCCATTATCACATTAGCACTGTTTTAAACATCGAGAAAGAGAGGATGGAGATGGATGAGCCTGAAAATTTAAGAATAAACAAGTTCAATTAGTACTGTTTTAAAATATATATAACGATGGGATCAAGCAGATGATTTAGAAACGTTACAAGGTACTTAACGAATTATTTACTCATTTTTAAACCAATAGGTCAAAACCTGCGTGCATAATTGGTTTGATCATTTTGGGCAGAAAACACCCCAAAACACTGAACTCAGCGTTCTTGTTCCTTTACCAGGTACTTTTGAGTCTTCACTCTTCAGTCAATTGATAAAGGAAAGGAAAGGCCATATGTGTACCTTAATTCTTTCTCGTTACAAACCTAATCATTTAGGACAATTAGAGTTTGTTAGTTAATATTTTGCAGATATAAAAATTGGTGAAAAATGTGCTTGACATATTGTTTTGTGAAAATGAACCAAAAAAAAAAAAAAAACAATGTTTAGCTAAGTTCAAAACATCAAATTGATGTTTCATATGTTAATAAATAATATAATTCAAAATAATAGAAAATACAAGATAAATTATAAAACAAAATTAAAGTTTCAAGGAAACATAAAAGTTATGGCAAAAAATGAAGTCATGTATATGCCCACCACCGTCACCCATGTCACTATGACCACCTTCACCTTCACAGTCTCGCCATCATCACCACCATGGCCATAATTACCATATTCTTCACCATAATCACAATTATGGCCACCACCACCTGCCATCTCGCCATCATCATCACTGTCACCACCACACCATCGTCACCAGTAACAACATTGAAGAAGTTCCTAATCATGTCATCATATTTCGAAAACACCAAAACAAACGACACTAAAAATTTGACATTGTTTATAGGAAATACTTGGCACTATTAATTTTTTCATGTCTTATTAGCTAGACCAGTGCGCACTTTGGGGGCGAGTAATAGGGCGCATTGCACAGGGTCTCTAAGCTTTTGCACACCAGGTCCCTTCACTTTAAGATTGTATAATTGTGTAAATCATTATAATTGTGGAATATAAAGGCATAAGGTCTTTTCCAGCACATGTATGATTGTGTAAATCATTAATAAATTGTATTTAGATACAACATATGTATGATTGTGTAAATCATTAATAAATTGTATTTAGATACTAGAAGATCATTAATAAATTGTTTTACTTGTAAGGCAAGAAATCCTCCTTGGTTTACTATAAATAAGGGCATAAGGTCTACGGAATAATATACATAACTCCTCAAACCCTTCTCCATATTGTCCATAACACATCCTCTCTTACTCTTAGATAAAATAGGTCATAACACATCATCAGCATGCTCATGGCCCTGCGGTAAAGAGAAATTGTTCATTTCAATTAGAAGAGTATTACATTTCAATTATTGTTATTATGATTAAACCTTTTATTTTATTGAATTCATATATTTTATTGATTATTAATTAATTAATTTATTATGTTGAAAGAGATACACGCTTTGAAGATGGAAACCCGAAATCTAGAAAAGGAACTTAAACCATCTCATAGGTCATCCTCACTCAGTACAAAGGTAATTGTAATGCAGATCCTACAAATCCATTCACAATATTCATTATCGCAATCCTACGATCTTAATGTCGATATTTTTTTTTTTAGCTTGATTGCATGAACCTTCACCATAATGCATGAATCCAACCTTTTGCTTTACAAATTATAGATTTTGCTAAAATTGTAATATGTGTGAAAAAGGAAAGAAAAAGGGTTAACCCTAATTTGTGCTGATGTCATGGTTGGAAGCAGCAATCTTCCTTGACCTGAAGTCGAGCAACCAGAAGGCCATTGCTTATCGTCAGGACGACGTGCAGTCGTCCACCAACAAATGGAATTGTCTCCGATGACTGGGTGACACTTCCCGACTCGGAATGTCCACTAGGACCCCAAATCGAGCTGTGTTGGCCGACACCTGGAAGGTGACGAAACCATAAAGTGTGATAGTGTAAAAAATGTGAATAAATTTGAACCTAAAAGTTTCTAAAAGCCAGAGTGCGCTACGAGTGGGAGTGAACCCATTTTACACCCGATGCCAGAGCATAAGTAAAGTACAGTAGTGTCGGTAAGAATCATACCCTTAAAAGTAGCCACCAATACTAAGATTAGCCATATATCCTCGTCGATACGAACTCAGTAGTTAAAACCTAAAGGGGGGTACAAAACAGAAAGTGTGAGTAAGCAATAAAACCAAGCTTCCCAAAACTATTACCTTTCTAACAGTAATAACCCCTCACTGTAATTCCCTTATCGTTTTTTATAGGACAGTACTACACACACACACATATAAATATATATATATATCTATATATCCACCTATGCTACAAAAAAAAAAAAGGCCAAAACCACGGATATGCCATGTCTATAGACTCTACAATGCATTAACAAGCAGGCCAAATGAACTTAATTAATATAAAATGATACATCAGCCGGAATCACCTAATGTGACCTGTACGACTGTACTCGTATCTCATCAATCAATGCAAGTATATAAGTCGGGAGTCATCTCTAATGACTTGTACGACTTATCCATATCTCATCAAGCATCCCTGCACAAGTGTCGGAACCACCTCTAGTGGTCTATACGACAGGACAGAGTGTAAATAAGTACGCTCAAGTGCTACGATCACGTGAAGACAGGGCGAATAATCGGGGGTCACCTTCGAGTCAGAACCACCTATAGTAGTCTGTACGACAGGCCTGTGCACCTACCTTGAGTACAAGGTAAGCGTAAGGTACGGGAGGTGAACATCACGTGAAGGACTGTGCCCTGGCCACGGGCGGGAGCACCAACACCGGGGTGCAGGTTTATGAGCTCTCAATGCATCTCAATATAACATGTACAACTCATGGCAACCAGTACGACAATATCGGAGTTGCCTAACACATAAATGTAGTCATGCTATAACTCCATCGATTCAACTAATACCATAAACTCACCTGAACTTACCTGGGTGTCCTGTGTTCACCTTTGCACTTGAAAGCATTCCCAATAATTATGTGTAAGTAATATACATATGGAAATACCATGATGCAATCTAATACTCAACCATGTTGTAGCATTTTCAATTATATACAATACGGTGTGAAATGTACAACTAATAACGCCCTACTCCCGAACTACTTATTTTCATGGATAATTATCCATGACAACCCAATTAACACTAATTTAACTAACTAATTCACAAAACTAAAACTTGCCTTTACCAATTTCCTTCGCATTACTCAAATTCCCAAATAAGGCTTTTGTCTCAAATATATTATGGCTGCATCTAACGTCTCGTTAGACTGCTTACGTACCCTAAACAGGGATTAAGCCATTCGTAGTTCATATTAGTACTTCAAGCATGCATAATAATTATATGAAGGTAATATACCTGATCAATTTAAAAGTGTTGATGGAACTATCAATAATATGTATGATAAAAGGAAAAGGTCCACTCACCTGGAGTCCACGCTATGATTCTCTAGCGCACGCATCGAGGCGTCCTGAATGATTGATGCCTGTGACCAATTATCGAATCAGATCTCAGAACTCTTGTCAGTAGAATACGTAATTCACATAAAACACAAACTCAAGGGCATTCTAAAATAGCTTGAGACCTATTGACCACAAGTCAACAGTCGATCAAAGATCGATGGTAAGGTCTACAACCCTGTATAACTCGACCCGGAAGATCTGCTTATCAGATTTCCAATCCACAGCTCCCTATGATCCACAATATGTTTCTAGAATAACATATTAAAATTTCATTACGATCCAACGGTCGGATCTCCACCAATTGCCCAAAACCAAGTGGCGGTTAACATTTATTTTACTAACTTACAAATCCAATTCGGGGAGATCTGTACGTTAGATTCCCGATCCATAAATTCCTATGATCTTTAAATATTACGTATTATAATGTATCCAAGTTTGGTGACGATCCCACGGTTAGATCGTCGATTCACATTTTTATCAAGTAACGTATCGTAACGAATTTAGGTTCCAATGATCTACCTACGTCATTCAAATAACAAAACTGAATTCAAAACATTCGACATAGCCTAAAAATAGCATTGGCGGCCCACTGGCCACACGCCGCCCCGACTCGCTGGAAAATCCAACTATTTCCAAAAATTCTCAAACTTCACAGAAATGAAGATCTCAGTAAGTGGAGCAACTTTCATACCTGCCACGAAGTCCAAAAGTGGACGGCAGATGGTCAAATTTTCCCACAAAGCCCGCGGGTGCCTAAAACTTCCCGACATCGATTCGTCATCTACGGTGGTCCAACAGGGTCAAGGTTGGTTGGGTTTTGCTCCTGGGATGATGGGCTACAAAGCCTAAGTGGTGGCATCGGCCATCACTTTGCCGATTTGCCGGAGAATCAAAAAGGGTGCCCGGAGCACCGTGAGAACCGCCAACTTTCGTGGCCTCAAACCGCCACATACCGTGGTTAATCAAGGTGGTTCTTGGGTAGGTTTTGTAGAGGGAAATGAGAGCTTCAAGATGGTGGTGGTGGCGTCGAAAAAATCCATCGGAGTTGGTCGGAATAGGCCTTGGAAAATGGGTGGTCGTGAGGGGAAAAATGCACGGGAAAGCAGGGAGCTTTCTTTTTTTTTTTTTTTTTGTTTTTTTTTCCTTCTTTCTTTCTGATTGGCTGAAGGCTTTCCTCCTCTCCTCTAATTGGTTCCTTGTCCCTTTAATTTAATTGGTCCAC